GGGAAAAAGGGCAGGGAAGGGGAAAAGGGGAGGAGAAGCGGGAAAAGGGGAGGGAGAGGGAAAGAGGGGAAGAAAGGAGGAGGAAAGGATGGGGGGGGAAGGGGAAAAGGGGCGTAACAGGGCAAGAAGGGAGAAAGGGAAGGGGGGAAAAGGAGAGGAAAAGAGGATTTGGGGGGAAGGGGGGAAAAAAGGAGGGGGCAAGGGAAGGGAAAAGCGGAGAAAAGAGGAAGTGGGGGGGAAGGGGGACAAAAGGAAGGGAAGGGGGGAAAGAAGGGGAAACGGGGGGTATGGGGTGTAAAGGAGGAAAAAGGGAAGGTGGAAAGCGGGGGAAGAAGAGGGGAAAAGGAGGGAAGGAGAAGGGGGAAAAGGAGAGGATAGGGATTTGGAGGAGAAGGGGTGTTACGACCCACCCCAGAAAAAGGGGAAGGGGGGAGTAACTCAGGTTTTTATCAATAATTCCCTTGGGGTGGATTAAAGTGAAACGACACTAAATAATCGGTGTCTGAAAACAAAGTTTATTTTAACAATTTTGTATCAACAAGCATGCTAGCAGTTTGGGTGTTGTCATAAAACAATGCAACATAGAGATAACTTTTGGGGGGGGAGAAACTGTTTAGGGGAGAGGAAAACCAGGATGAGAGTAAGGGAAAAGAGAAGCTGAGAGTATAAAAGAAATGGACATAGTCACTGCTCACTGGGTCCAGCGATGCTTGAGAGTGATGGTCTTGATTCGCAGGCGGTGGGGGAAAAGGAGAACCCCCAAATTCTCAAAGTCACCAGTCAGTTTATATACCCTCAGCATGCTTTTGCACCTCCCTGGCATGAGGAGTTGTTTGCCTTTTAGGGCTTAGCACTGGAGGGAGGGATGGGCCCGGTTGGCTACCTGAGGTGTCTTCTTGCCTTTTAGGGCTTAGCCCCTGTGAGGCAACTCCTTGCCCTTTTAGGGCTTAGTCCACCTGAGGCATCTCCTTGCCTTTTTAGGGCTAAAGTCAAAACCTGCAAACTCCTGGAATGCATAAATCATTAACTATTTCAGTCTCTGACAAGGGGGAAAAGAGGGGAAAGTGGGAAAGGGGGGAAAAAAGGGAAAGGAAAGAGAAGGAAAGGAGGGGAAAAGGAGGGTCTGGGAGGGAAGGTGGGAGAAGGGTGGGAAAAGGGGGGTCTGGGGCGAAAAGGGGATTTGGGAGACTTTTGGGATAAGGGATTGGGGGCAGCAGGATGTGAGAAAGTGTTATGGGATGTGGCTGCCCCGGGGGGACTTTGGGAGCAGCAGAGTCTGGGTGTGGTTTCGGATTGGGAATCATGTCCTGCAGGATTTGGGGGGGTCCCAGCCCTGACATCCCTGGGCATTCCCTGTTCCCAGCTCCGCTCCCTGCGCCGGCAGCTGGCGTTGCCAGTGATCCCCTGGCGTGGATACCGCGGGGATTCTCCATCGGATTCCGGGAAGGATGTGCTGGAGATCCCGCTGCCCCCCTGGCAGGAGCGTCCCGAGGAGCCGCTGGACACCAAGAGGGCCCGGCTGCTCTACGAGAGCAGGAAAAGGGGGATGCTGGAAAACTGCATCCTGCTGAGGTGGGATTGGCTCCAGGCACGTCCCGGGGGGGCATTAACGGGGAAGAGCCCTGAGAGTTGCGGGAAGAGCTTAGTGAGGGACTGCACAGCCAAAATCCACGGGATAAACCATCCCAAGGGTGGTTCAGGATCCAGTGGGGTGGATGGAGCAGAGCCAAAATCCTTTGGAGGATGTGTGTAAATCCTGGGATGCGTGGGGACCTCTTCTCCCATCTCCCACCTATATCTATCCCTTTTCCAGCCTCTTTGCCAAGGAAAACTTGGGCAGGATGAGCGAGGAGCAGCTGAACCGCTACGACCGGCTCATCAACGAGCCCAGTAACGACTGGGACATCTATTACTGGGCAACTGGTGCGTGGGGACACCCCTTGGGACCCCGGGATGGGCCCTGGGAGATCAGGATGGGTCCCCAGGACACGGGGATGAGCCCCTGAAAGATGGGGATGGGTCACTGGGAGACCAGGATGGGTCAGTGGGACACCAGGATGGGTCACCTGGACACTGGGATGGGGCACTGGGAGACTGGGATGGGTCCCTGGACTTCAGGATAGGCCATTGGGATACTGGGGTGGTCCCCTGTGGTGCCTCGGGACCACACGGAGCTGATTTTCCCAGTTTTCCTGCAGAAGCCAAGCCGGCTCCGGCGGAATTCGAGCACGACGTGCTGGACATGCTGCGGGAATTCGCCAAGAACAGGAACAGGGAGCAGCGGCTGCGGCAGCCGGACCTGGAATACCTGTTTGAGCCCCCGCCCTGACCCCTCCATGCCCGTTCCCCGGAGCAGCGCAGGGACACGGGGATCTGTGGAATCGCTGCTGCCTTCCCTGTGGTTCTCCTCCTCTCTCGGCAGCCGCTGGACACTGTGGAATGCTGGAATGCTGAATAAAGCCGGGGCTGCTGGCCCTGCTTCCCTACATTGTGACCTCAGGGTCCGGTCCTTGGGGACATTCCCACCTCGCTCTGGCACATCCCATCCCACTGATATCCCTAATTCCCACCTGCCCCCTTTTCCCTGGCTCCCAGGGAGGTGGCCCCACACCTGCTTCAAGCTCCACGTTCCCGGTGCTCTGGGACTCCCCGGAGTCCCGTTGTCGCGGTTGCCAGGAGACCGAATCACATTCCGCGGCAACATTGCACACCCTCTCGGCCGGCCGGGAAGGCCGGGAGCCGCTGCCAGCACCTCCAACCATGGCGTAGGGCCCTTCCCTGGGGTTATCCCGGTGCCAGGATGCCTTCCCTGCCGCAGGATTCCCCCGCCGGGGGCTTGGGCACGGGATTCCCGCTGGTGAGGGTGCACGGCGGGGACCGCTCTGACCTGCTGAGCTTCTACGTCACCACCTACGAGGTGTCCTTTGGGAAGAGACCCCCGGGATTGTCCCACAAGTTCGAGGGGCGTGTTTTGGGGGTCAAACCCCCCGACCAGGCGTCCGTGCACCCGCTCCTGGGGGTCCATTCCGGATCCGGATACGTCACCAACAACTACTCGGCCCTCTCGTCCCTGATCACCCCGCGCCCTGAGTGGTAGGTCCCCTCTTCGGGACGAGTCTGGGGGGGAAAATGTTGGGATCGCTCTGTCACGGCCATTCCCGCCGCAGCCCGGACCCCTTCGTGTCCATGTCCACCACCTCCGAGGATTTCAGGCCCTTCGGGCGCCCACAGTTCCAGAGGATCCTGCCCCAGTGTGTGGAGGAGCCGGAGTGCTCGTATCCCCCCGAGTTTTCCCTGTCCCGGATCCGTTACGAGGGGCTGAAGCCTCCAAAGTTATCCAGGGGATCCAGCGCCAAGAGCAGCTGCACCAGTCCTGCCCAGCCAGGTATGGATTTGGGAGGGGGGGATCCAGGGAAAGCTCCCTGGGAGGGTTTGGGGTGTTGGGACCCCAGGGAAAGCTCCATTCCCAAGAAGATTTTGGGGTGTTGGGATGACAGGGAAAACTCTATCCACACCAGAGTTTGGGGTCTTGGTGGTTCCAGGCCCAGCTCCATCCCCAGGAGGGTCTGTCATATTGGGATCCCAGGGAAAGCTTCATCCCCAGGAAGATTTTGGGGTCCTACATAAAGCTCCATCCCCGGGAAGATTTTGGGATCCCCAGGAAAAGCTCCATTCACAGGAAGATTTTGGGGTGTTGGGATCCCAGGGAAAGCTCTATCCACACCAGAGTTTGGGGTCCTGGTGGTTCCAGGCCCAGCTCCATCCCCAGGAGGGTTTGTCATATTGGGATCCCAGGGAAAGCTTCATCCCTGGGAAGATTTTGGGATCCCCAGGAAGATTTTGGGGTCCTAGAGAAAGCTCCATCCCCAGGAAGATTTTGGGATCCCCAGGGAAAGCTCTGTCCACACCAGAGTTTGGGGTCCTGGTGGTTCCAGGCCCAGCTCCATCCCCAGGAAAGGTTTTGGGATACTGGTGGTTCCAGGCCCAGCTCCATCCCCAGGAAGGTTTTGGGATATTGGTGGTTTCAGGCCCAGCTCCATCCCCAGGAAGGTTTTGGGATATTGGTGGTTCCAGGCCCAGCTCCATCCCCAGGAAAGGTTTTGGGATACTGGGGGTTCCAGGCCCAGCTCCATCCCCAGGAAGGTTTTGGGATACTGGGGGTTCCAGGCCCAGCTCCATCCCCAGGAAGGTTTTGGGATATTGGTGGTTCCAGGCCCGGCTCCATCCCCAGGAAGGTTTTGGGATATTGGTGGTTCCAGGCCCAGCTCCATCCCCAGGAGGTTTCAGGGATGTTGGTGGTCCCGGGGCCAACTCCAGCTCCGGGGATTTTGGTGGTGTCAGTCCTGGAACCGAATCTGAGGTTCTGGGATTGTTGGAGCCCCCCTGCCCTGCGTCCCCCACCCCCAAACACGGGGGCACAGGCGTATCCAGGTGATGGCAGGGCTGGGAACGGTGCTGGGAGCAGTGGGAATGCGCCTGCTCCGTGTGCTCCCACAGATCTCCCCCAGTGGAAGCCAGATTTGTCATCGGGCTGCCCCCCGAGGGACGCCTGCCATCTCCCTGCGGAGCCCGGTGTTCCCGCCCTGGATTCCTGCTGCCCCCAGAACCGCCACGTGAGCGAGGGCAGGGGGTGGCCAGACCCCTGTGGGGAGGGGATGCTGTATCCCGGTGCTCCCGGTCGGGAGGCTGCGGGGTGAGCGGGATCCCATCCCCGTGTCCGTGTCCCCTCCTCATCCCACCGTTCCCACACAGGGTTTGCCCGCCATGGGCCACCACCCCCCATTTGCCCCCCTGGAACTGCGAGTGGGACCACAGGAACCCAGCAAGAAGGTGGGTGTGGGAATGCCACCCGTCCCAACCCCCTTTCCCATGGGATCAGGCACCCGACCCGCCTCCATCCATCCATCCGTCCCGCAGGATCCGCAGGGATACTCCACCATCCACAACCAGCACCTGACCAACCTCTCACCCCTGGCTCCCATCGCTCCAGGTGAGTTTGGGGTGGGATTGCAGCCCCCCCCCCGCCGGGGAGGGGGAAATTCCGCCCTCACCAACGCTTCCCTCCCGGATTTCCCAGCCTGGTGGTCGCAGGGTCCCACCTGGGCTCCCAGATCCGTGGAGGGTGTCCAGGTCCCGCGTCCCAGCGGATTCAGCACCAACAACCTCCCCACCAACCTGTGGCACAACGACGACCCCTTCATGTGACCCCCAAAATCCCAGGAGTCCCAGCCTCGGCTTTTTTGGGAAGCTCCCAAATCCCCGTGAGAGCAATAAAGACCCTGCGCACGATCCCGGTCGGCCCCCCCCCTCGTCTTGGGGGGTTTTCTTGCGTCCCAAATCCTTCCGGGAAGGAGGATTGGAGGGGTCAGGGGGTGTCGCTTGTCCTACGGCCACCGGAGGGCGATACGAGCCCGTTTTTCCGAGCTGGATTTGGGATGACACAGCTGATTTGCGGCAGGAAAATCCAGGCAGGGCTGGGTGGGAAGCGGGAGGATGAGGAAGAGGAAGGACCCCGTAGGGTGGGCACGGGGGGCGCTCGGGGGGGCTTCGTCCATGTCCTCCCTGGCCACGGAGTAGTGAGAGGGCACTGGGAAGGGGGTCTGTGCTCTCAGAGGCGGCTCCTTGGGATGTGGGGGATCCCAGAGGGACCCCCACCCCCTGCTCCCTGGGGGTCCCAGAGGGCCCCCCACCCAGTTTAGGACCTCACACCCAGTTTAGGACCTCACACCCAGTTTAGGACCTCACACCCAGTTTAGG